GATGGCCGCCGATCAGATTTATCAACGGCAGGCTCGGCCTCCTGAAAGTTCGGGTGCTGGCCACGACTTGTCGAAAATAGGCTCGGAGGTACTGGTGGTTATTTATCAACCGACAGTCTGTAAAGTTTTCCATCTGGTGAGGGTGAGTGTTAGTCTGGTTTGGTTTTCGTCACAGGTACCTTGAGGGCAGTGGTTGGTGCCCAGCCTCCTGATGAGTCAGTGAAATTCCGACGAAACAGTTTGTCACAACCCGTCGTCTGTTGTCCTCTTCTCCTTCTCTGCCGACGGTTTACCGGGCAGTTCTATTTGATGATATACATGTATGTATGTATGGAGGGTTCAGCCTCCTTATGAGTCGGTGAAACTTTGACGAAACACCATATTGCCTACTTTATTACCTTCAATTCTTTTTTGTATTTGTCACAGCTCCTCGTTTGTTGTACTCTTCTCCCTCTCTGTCTACAGTTTACTAGGCAGCTCTGTTTGACGATATATCATACATGGTTTTTTTCTCTGATTTCTTTTGTTGGAACTGGTCAGGAATTCGGCATTGCTGTCAGCCGAAAGTTGTGAGTATTAACTTTTAGTATTAAAACTCCTTTCAAGAAATCAGAATTTTAGAAAGGATTCCAAAGACCCAGACACTGCTATCCAGATCTGGACGTCCGGACTGTCCACAAGGGTGCACTCTGAGTCTGCATTTTTGTCACACTGGGTCCCGTCCGCCAGTTTGCTGGCCTGCTGCCCCTCTTCATTCAGTTATTACATGCTAAAGTCAAGGTCTAACGGCATACTCTTACTGCCCTGTATTGGAGTAAAACTCTCAGGGGCATAGAAGGGGGAAAAGGTGATTTCAGGGCCCACTGGTCACACCTGGAGGGGTATCAGAGAAGGCCCAGAGCTGGGAGGTCTGCAAGTTTGCAGGAGAAACAGGTAACCAGGTCTCACAAGGTTCTTTTTCCCAGTGTGAATTTGCCAAATCAATAGTTTGGAAAGGAAAATGAAAACAGCAGTACTCATTATATTCTGATTTCCGAATGCTGGGGTTCCCCTTCAGTTCAATAAACGGATGTGCAGGCTCCTCTAGGGGTGCCCCATATTCTGCTATCACATGGATGTGCAGGCTGGGAATGAAAAGGGGTGAGAAAGGGTGGTATTTTTCGAAAGAGGTGTGCAAGAGTGCCACATCCTTCGAAGGTTGGTTCCTTCGGTTTATTAATGGGAACAAGGGACAGTGTGGGCTAGCCCGTAGTCTCACAGACAGATAAGGGAGGAGAGTATGTGCCTCACGGCTCTGAAATAGTGAATAGGAAGTCGATCTGGCGGTCTTGGTATCAATGCAGGCAGGCATGAGCAGGAGAGAACATCCTTCAGTGATTCAGACGAATTCTCACTTCTGCCCTGGTGTCAGCCAAAACCAGCTGCAGCATTACATACACAGTGCCCGGAGGGGCGCACTGCATCGTTCTTTTTTATTGAAAGAGGCAATGGCCTTGAGATATCATCGTCGAGTTAACTGGCCCCAGTTAATTCAGCATTATCTCATTGCATTCATCTTAGGTTCATCAAGATTCGAACTCAGGTGTGTAATTCAGCAGTTCAACTGAGCCAGGTTCGTTGGTGGGCGGACAGACTGCATCATAATTCCTTGCGTTCACCAACTTGCACCGTCTCTCATCCAAAACGTGTCACAAGGACAAGGGGCCGTGATGAGGAGATCTGTGGGAACTTGACAACTGGTATTGAGGCTTTATCCATGTGCAATTGCAGTGTGGAGGGTGACATCCTGACCTCAGAGAGCATGTCTATCACCCTCATAGGGGGAAGATCGAGTCCCGTTTCCTTGTAGTGGCCCCAGAGCGGCTCCTCTCACTGAACATGCCCCAGTAAGAGAAGGTATGTCCGGTTGCTTCCGGCGGAGTGTAGATGGAGCCATATTTGACAGCTGACCAGGTAGAAAGGCTCCATCAGCATCGGCAACGCACAAGTTGCTGGAGCCTCAGCATCACAGCACTTGGAGCAGCTGTTGTGAATTCTGAGACTTAGAGGCGAAAAAAAAAAACACTGGCTCTTGGAGGCAAGCATAAAGTGAGCCTTAGGAGGTAAGGGCTCCTTGCAAGGGATGGTCAATTCTTGCACAACCTGACGGCATGGTTTGGGCCCACATGGTTCGGGCCCATCACCATCTTTGTTGCCAAAACTAGTAGTCCCTAGTGTTACTTCATTCGGATTTGGAGTTCAAGCCTGCTGATTAATAGCTGTGTGTGTTTTGCACTCATGAGCGAGCTAGGTAAGAGTGTGCACAGCAAGGTATGTTCAGATTAAACCACGAGTATATGCCATACATCGGCCGCAGGCGCCTTTAGGAGACCTAAACGCGACGCCAGACGCCGATGTATTCTGTTGGCGGCATGCAGGCTCTAACTTTTTCGGAGTAGGTGACGAACAGTTCTCCACAAGGTGGGGGCCATGTACAAGCAGTTTAAGCCACCCCTAGCTCCTGAACATTTGGGCCAAAGCGTGTGGACAGGGGGATAAAAATGTGTGGACGTTTCAATCTAACAGCCAACCAAATGAAGGCAAGCCTCCTGGTACCAGGGAATGGATGTAAAAGGTAGTTGTTCTCCGCTGGCTCGTGGAGTTACATAGGTCTTCTGGAAATTTCAAGACGAGTGTTAGTTACCCTCAATGAATATTTGTGTTAAATTGTAGTGGTGTGCTTCAGCTTAGTTCCACTTTTTTTGGGGTTTACTCACTTGTTTTGGGAGCTTGTTAATTTTTGATGCGCAGTTGCGTCCTGTGGCGCAGCCTGGTGTGCAGATCTGCCAGCAAGTGCTGTCAAACATGCCTTGGTTGGTGAACCGCAGACACCTGCATTGGTTGTTCTTGTGTTGATTGTGCCGCAGAAGCACTGGGAGGGAAAAAGCAGAGGCAGGAACTGCTAAAGGACCAATCGGGATAAGCTGGCAGTAATGCTGCTGTGGATGGATGGATGGATTACTCGTTAGTCGTACTTAACCGCCACCGGGGACCCTTATCATGAGCGAAAGAGTGTATTGAATCCTTACTCGTTTTAAAACTACTTCAGGAATCAACTACTCCCTCAAGAGTCTCAACGTTCCATGGCATCCAATTTACACTCGGAGCATTTGATGTACATGCTGTACGCTTACTCCTATGTAGAGTAGCATGATGTATCGTTATATGCTTTAACTACTCATCGCTTGGAAAGCTCTTGTAATGTTTGGTGTGTAAATAACATGTATGATCCCTGAGATAGGCTTGCTTTGTTTTACAATTGAGGCGTTTTGTTGTATATTGTGGGGAGTATTTAATAATATTATTTGAGAACTTTATGTAATACTACACATCTACATGTATAATACTTATGATGACATAAGCATGTCAGGGTACTTGGTATGGAAGGGACATCAACTTGTTGTTGATTCTTCAGGGCTCTTGTATTTTGTATTTTTGAAGGCACATAACGCACTTGTCGTTGATTTTTGCTTAAAATGTTTCTGTAGTGTACATTAAGAGGGTGCAACTGTTTCTTTTTCAGCGTTTCGACTTTGGCTATATGGTAACGAACACTGTCCCTGACAGATGTTGAAGCATACAGCATAACTCCTTTCAATTCCAAGTATTTGTATGCTGTTTTTTTTTTGGGTAAGGCTTTTCCTAAAATATGTTTTGTAAGCTACTTGCTATATGTGATCGAATATAATTTAGCAGAAGACAGAGAGGCTGTTGATGAGGTCCGGTGCTGTGTTGTTTGGCGAGTTGCTTAGTCTTTTCCCACGTGGGACATGGCGGGAGTTTGTACGTCTGTGGTCCCCACAACGAGGCAGATGTGAAGCCTATGGCTTTGAAGACAGAGAGGCTGTTGATGAGGTTTGTGCGGTGTTGTTTGGCGAGTTGCTTAGTCTTTTCCCATGTGGGACATGGTGGACCCACGTGGGACATGGTGATCCCACATGGGACATGGTGATCCCACATGGGACATGGTGGGAGCTTGTATGTATGTGGTCCCCACATCGAGGCATATCGAGGCAAATGTGAAGTCTATGGCTTGAAGTAACCTGGCTCCTGACTCCTTGGTCTGGAGTGCTGGCCAAAACCACATCCATTCCAGCAAGTTGGTGTTTCCTGTTATCTTCCAAACGTTGTCAGCTTTGTGTGTTCCTTAGCTAGCGTGGATTCGGTGTTTCTTCAGCAGGTTCTTTGATTTATCACAGGACATTGGGCCTCGCTCCACTACTCGCCAAATGCACAAAAGACAATAAATATGCCGGCGTATATTTCCATGTTCTAGCGGAAGATCCATTCTCATTTTTCAAGTTTGGTGAGTAGTGGAGTGAGCACCATTGTTGCTCTGGATGTTCATGTGCGGAACGGGATAGCAGCAAGAAATCAGTAGCGTACGTCTGAGCAGAAATGCAAAGTTCAATTGACATATCGGCAGAAGTGTAGCGCTGAAGGATTTTCCGAAGTGTGTGTTACGACAGCCTATAGAATTCAGAGGCTGTAAGTGTGCGCAAAGTATTGTTTTTGTTTTAGGCAGCCAATAAATGTCAGAGGCTGTGGAGATTGCAGGGAAACACAGGTCCAGCTCAAAAGCGACTTGTAATAATTTAAATTGCACTTTTGCCACAAGCTGGCAAATGAGTGATTTTTAATAATTTAAATTGCACTTTTCAGTCAGGCTGTATTGGTGTCACTTGGGCCTGGGTGTCGCTGGCCCAGGTCTATTGTTGTCTTTTTCCATTTGTATTGTTATTGGTTTTATTGGGAATGTGGGATGTGTAAAGATTCTCAAGTCAATCAACAGCCGAGACACAAGAAATTGGCACGCAAAATATCTTCATTACACAACAAGGGGTTGCCTGCCGCACATGCATGCGACGGGAACCACGATGGGGAAAAGAAAAATATATCGCAGATGGCGAGGGTGATGATGATAGAGATGACAATGGCAGTAGTCATTACGATGGTGGTGCCGATGATCACAATGATGATGATAAGGGATGCTCCGGAGGATGATGGTGATTTTGATACTGACGAGGGATGCTTGTAACCATGATGATGATGATGATGATGATGACGTTGATGATGATGATGATGATAATGATGGTGGTGGTGATGATGATGATGATGATAATGATGGTGGTGGTGATGATGATGATGATGATGATGATGGTAGCCATCATCTTTGTCTTCATCATCCCTCATCCTCCTCATCGTCCTTAGTGTCATTTCCATCGCCATCTTCCTCATCCGAGTCGTCATCATCATCCCTCCTTGTCCCTCTTTCCTCCCAAGCTCGTCGACTGTTCTCTCGCTTCTTGCTGGCTGGTGTTCTTGTTTTTGGGGGCATGATCAACTTTCCCCACACAGGCAGCGGAGGTCCATCACCCATCTCTCTCTCTCTCTCTCTCTCTCTCTCTCTCTCTCTCTCTCTCTCTCTCTCTCTCTCTCT